AAGATTCTAAAGAAGAATGGGGCACAGAGCACAAGCAAAAAAATGTTTTTTTAGTGAATCAAGCTTCTGAGCGTTTACAACTTAAGTTTTTCACTTTTTCCGTTCTGCATATATAAGTTCGTGTTCACTGTGAAAAAGAGAAAATATGTTTTTTCTTCTCTCTTTTCTCTCTTCCCATATGATAAAACACGTTCTTATTTTTCTATCGTGTCATCGATATTAGGAACATTTAGTCTAGGGTTTCTGATCGCGGTTTACCGCAACCGCAAAACCGCGGTATTTTGACGAAAATCAAAAACCGCAAACCGCTAAGGGAAAACCGCGGTATTTGCGGTTTTTATAAAATTTATCGAAAAAATTAATTTTTACCTATTTTTACATTATTAAGAGGTATAAGAAAAATAAAAATCACGCGAGAGAAAAGTATTAAGAAATTGTTAGGAAGTAGTTAACCTAATCTCATATTAAGCATAATAATCTTGCGATATACATGTTCTCTTCACTCTATGGGTATTTTCCTTTCTGTTCTTCTGTCATGTGTGTTCGCTCTTCTGCTTTCTTACAATGTATATTTTGTCTTTCTGTTCATTCTTTTCTATGGGTATTTTTCCTCCCTATTCTTATCTCTCTCTTTCGCTCACTTGTACAATAGGTGTTTTTCCCAGTTAGTTTTCCTATGGGATATTCCCTAGCTCACCTTATATATAGTTGTTCATTTTGTTGCAATAAATGATATGATAGTCTGAGGTGTCGGACGCGTTTGTAGCGGTACGTCACCGGATGAGATATTCGGATTTAGTGGAGGAGCTCAGGGGGGATAGGTAGAAAGATTTTCCGGTTTTGTAGACGGTAAATGAGCAGGGGGTGGAGAAGCAACAAGGACTGGAGAATGATCGCGTGAGTGCGGGTTAGAAGGCATCGGACGCCGCAGGTCACGAAGATAATCCTCGACGTTTCGGGCAACAGTATCTGACCGGTTCTGAGTATCCAAGGAAGTATCATCTACTTTCAACTGTAATGCATGGATTGCGTGCTGAAGAAGTTCAATTTGATTCTCGATATGCTGGTTCTTACGGTCAATTTTTTCATTTTGTTCCTGCATTCGAGAATCTGTGAGTACAATCTGAGACCGATGATTATCATAAAGTGTTTGAAGATGGTCCTGGATGGACCTTTCGGAGGTGGATAAATTAGAGAATTCAGCCATGATAAAAATCAATGTGACTTACCAGACAATCAATATGAAGAGAGATAGAAAGAAAAAAAAGAAGAAGAGTTTTGCAGGAGAACGGAAGGTTCGGCAAGACGAGATCGCCAAGTGTGAGAGACTTATATTTTCTTTACTTATAAGTCCTTGAGAGGTTATTGTACGTGTGCTTTATAATACGTAGTATATGTATATTATACTTTTATTACGACCACCCTTTAAAAAGAATTACAACCTACTAAAACTAAAAAACTATTCGATTCCATATATCTTCTACTACATGCCAAAAGATAAGAACGAAACAAAAAAGAAAGAGAAAAAGAAAAAGAACAGGAACAACGAGACAACAAAACTACCAACAAAAACAGGACAGAACAAAACAAACTAACATACATGTATACGAAGATAATTTGTACATAGTGGAAAGAGAGGTTGTGACAAATAATTGTCACACAGGGTTCGCTCGTAAGCAGAAAATCAAAATCAAGCTGAAGTTTCTACGCTAGTTTAACGAGCGAGAGAGTTCATCTTTCCAGGTCCGTCATATTTGTATGAATAAATTTTAGAACAAGGTTTTAATGACTGCAATTTACTTATTAAGTTTGTTGAAGATCTACTCGTAACAAAGAAAAGCAGTGCTTATCGATGAACTTTCTGCCATCCAGAAAACAGATAGAATTAGACACTTAAAGTCACTATTACTCACTGTAGCTAATTTGTGGTTGAGACAATTTATTTAAAGATGAATTCGGATCTGCTAATAATAGAGGATGAAGACACAAGGAACATTTCGGTTTTTTTTACTTACTTGGTCATGTACGTGTGTGTACCGATAGTGTTCGAAAAAGAAAAAGGCACGCAACATTCACTGATTATAGGGGAAGAAACCAAAGGTAAAAGGTGCCTACTGACAATTTCTAACAATTCTGTACTTTGATTTATATCGTTATGTTATTCCTTGCTCATTTCTACCATTAACACACTAGAAGACCATCATGACTCTTGTGCAGAACAAAATCAAAATGAATAATACTTCAAAGATTACAGGTAATTTCTATGTATTCTTTCCTGTATGTTATGATCTGCGATTCCTGGCAGCTCATAAGACTATGTTCTCTTCTTCTTTTCCTTTCTTTCTGTTCTTGGACATCCTTTCTTTTCTGTTTTGCAGTAGTTTTTCAAATTCTTTCTGTTCTTGCGCAATACTTGTATCATCCTCTGGTTTTCCCAACTCTTTGTGTTCTTGCGCAACTCCTGCGCAATTCTTGCATAACTGTTGTTCAACTTGTGTGCTATATATCGCCGTTCACTTTATGCAAATAAATATGAGAAATGAGTGAGTAGAACCTCACACTGTGTAGAAGAATTGACTTTCTTCAGGATTAAAACACTGTTCGTTTATTGATAAAAAATCGAGTGTTTTGAAAAACTGGTGAACGGCAATAGTTGAAAACTTGAAACAAAGACGAAAACGTGCTCCATTGAGTTTCCAATCAGTGCTGGAAATACGAAGCCCTAGCGACTTTTAGTTTTTATTTCACAGCATTTTTACGGAAAGCCTAAAAAGAGGGGAGGGGTACCCTTAAGAACCATTGCACGCAAGCCACGACCGACGTTCTTCAATCGATCTTTTCAAAACTTTTCCAAAGGAGGAGGCTCTTGTAGACAAAACATTTTAATGAACTTTTGTAAAAGGCGCAAATCAAAAAGTTGTATCGTTGCTGAGATATTGATATGTTACGAAAATCCCCGAAAAACGTGGATTCCGCCATCTTGAAAATTTGCCAACTTTAAACTCTTGTAATTCAGTAACAACAGGTTACTTAATCTTGGAGATTTCCCCATACATAGTAGACAGTGTGAGCTACAAAGCCATGCAACCGCGAGCTCAGAACATGTTTTCGTTACTTTGTAATAGATGGCGCACTAAGAGCCCAAATCCAGAAAAGCCTGAATTGTGCTGCAGCACCCATCTGAAACAAACTCGACTGTAAGACTTTCAACCATATTTCCAAATAGATTATATGCCAAGGTATATTTGGTAAAAGTCTGACGGTCTCCGGTGCTTTCGTTTTCAATACAGACGCCTTGTAAGTTACAATTTTGCCCAAAAATGACCATTTTGGGCGATTTTTAGAAATGATTTTCTTCATGGAAACGGGGCAATTCTGAAGCCCCTTAGTACACTACTGAAGTACACCAAGTGTACTATCATAGTCCATCTTGCGATTTGTGGGTTTCGTTAAAATGGCTTCGGAGGCTCGGTCGGGGGTACCGAGTTCTAGAGGCTTGCTCAATCAGTATATTTCTGCTACAGTATATTAAAATTTCAATAATAACCAGTTTGATATGCAACTTAACCTTAAACTATGTTTTTCTAACTAAAACAAAGTTGAAAGTATTTCTCAACAACCGATTTTCTAGGAGATCTCTAGAAAACCGTTTTGTAACTCTAAACGACAAAGTAGCAGTAGATTGGCTTTTTTATGACTAAATCGCCTAAAGTAAAATAAAATAAACGCTGCCATCAGATTTAGTATGATTGACTATGTACTTCTCTTCTTCTTTCAAGGTTACTGGAAGCCACTGAGTGCCAGTTCTGGTGCACCATGGAAATCAGATACCACGTCTAGATCATTCAAAATCAAAGTCTCGCTTGGCTCCAATTTTGAAGAGGACACCTTAGGCGATTTAGTCATAAAAAAGCCATCTACTGCTACTTTGTCGTTTAGAGTTACAAAACGGTTTTCTAGCTCCTAGAAAATCGGTTGTTGAGAAATACTTTCAACTTTGTTTTAGTTAGAAAAACATAGTTTAAGGTCTTGGCTATCGAATCGCAAAGACCGGAAGTTTCTATTGCTCTTGGTTCTTGAGTTATTCAAAAATCACTGACTGACATATAAAAATCCATCAGGAGGGAACCTATTAGAAGACTCTCAGTGGAACTCGCACATAGGACCGTGAAATTAACTTGTTGTTGTATTACCACTGAATATCTAGTGAAAAGTTGCATATCAAACTGGTTGTTATTGAAATTTTAATATACTGTAGCAGAAATATACTGATTGAGCAAGCCTCTAGAACTCGGTACCCCCGACCGAGCCTCCGAAGCCATTTTAACGAAACCCACAAATCGCAAGATGGACTATGATAGTACACTTGGTGTACCTTTTACAAAAGTTCATTAAAATGTTTTGTCTACAAGAGCCCCCTACTTTGGAAAAGTTTTGAAAAGATCGATGGAAGAACGTCGGTCGTGGCTTACGTGGAATGGCTCTTACAGAAGATGAATCTACACGGGTAAAGAAAATTAACAATAAAGAAATAAAAATAAAAAATTTTAAAATACACTGACATAAATCAAGAAATCTCTAGAAAAAAAATATTGTTAATCTTTCTGTGGAATTCTACGTTGGATCTTCGCAAAAGCTGAATTTAAATTCATTTACAGGCAGTTTGCATTGCAAGTTAAATTTTAGCAATCTGTCGATAGTAGTAGTGGCATTACATGTAAGATTTAAACTAATGTTTTAGTCAAAGTTGCAGCGCCATTGAACTAGAGCCCTGCATGTTGAGACAACGCAGGTAGCATAGTTAAATATTTCATAATACCAGTAATGTAAAATCCCAAGAAGAATCAAGTAACGATAATAATGATCATTCTATTAAATTCCTTATCCACCACAAAAATAGGTGCTTCGATCAATTAAAGCTGTCTAAATGTAGTGATGATGATATAAATGAATTAACAATAGAAAAAATCGAAATAATAATATTTAATGCGTATAATGATATGAAACTATTAATCAATAAACTTAAAATGTCAAAATTATTAGGACAAAATAATATTAAAGATATAGATGAATTAAGTTCATATATAAATGAATGTTTTGCAAATAATTCAAGAACAGCAGATTATTCAAATATTGATACTGAGAAGGAGGGAAAGGAAGAATCTGACGATGAAGAAGTTGGTTAAAATGACAGTGGCAACTATGAAAATAACAAGGGCATGGATTTAAGTGATCAGTAAAATAGATGGTATGATCAGTAAGAAAATATATTATAAAATCAGTTGATTGAATGAATGATCAGTAATATATTGAAGTACCGGTAAACTATTTAAATGATCAGTTGTTAAATGAAAAGGTTATGTAATAAAGTTTCAATATAAGTAAATAAGATAGAATAACAGTCAATTAAATAAAAGAATAAGTAAAGAAGCCAAAAAGTACGACAAAATGATTCACTTCTGCTTTGTTGTCCAGGTCTTTTTAAGTGGGAGTTTTCCTGTCTTTTTTCTAGTGGAAATTTTCGCTGTCTCTTTCCATGTGTATTTCCGCGACTAACTATACTATATATAGCAGTTGATTTCTTGTAATAAATCGTCAGTGAGATGATCACATTTATCTATCAATCAGTGAATCGAATAGAACAACCTAACAAGTGTTAACAAGTAAAAAAGATGGACGTAATCCAAGTTGCTGAATATGTAAGCGATTCAGATGAAGAAGTTCTAGAGGAAAATAATGAGAAACGTCAAAAGAAAAAAAAAGGACAAAATATTGGATTAAAGAAGCTGTGTTTGATAATGCTGCTGAAGCTGAAGCATCACTTAGAAATGCATGGTCAAAACAGTATACAAACTGTTTAGAAATTGGAAGAAAGGTTTATTACAGATGTAAAAAAACAAAACTGCGTGGTCCTCAATGTAGTGCAAGTATTTATTTGTTATATCACGCAGAGAAGGATCAAGTTTCTGTTTATAAAACTACATGCTGAAAACATATACATGCTGATGCAACACATAAGTTAATTTGACAGGGTTTCCCGGTGTTAATTATTGGAACAACTGATTTGAAAAAAGTTTTTCATCCATTTGGTTTAGCTATATGCTCAAATGAAAAATCAAAAGATTTCGAATTTATCTTATTTGGTATACAAATTGGTTTACAAAAAATAAAAAAAGATTTACTTAAACCATCAGCATTGGTGTCTGATGCTGCTGATTCGATCAAAAATGGTTTTAAGAATGTATTTAAATATAATCATAATCAAATCGTGTGTTGGTCACACATGAAAAGAAATGTTCAAAATCGTATATGTCATATAAATGATAAAGCTGTTACTGATGAAATGATGAATGATATTGAAATGCTTCAGCTATCTAATTCAACCACTTTATTCGAATTAGGATTAACATTATTTATGAAAAATGGAAGATAAACAACAAAAAAAAAGACCAATCAATCATTGATTTTTTAAATTATTTTGATAATGACTGGTTCAAATCAAATAATGGTTGGTATGAGGGCATCCAACTTTATACGCCCTCTACCAACAATGCCCTAGAGGCAACGAATAAAGTAATAAAAGATGACGGTTCATTTAGAGAACGTCATGTTATATCGAGATTTTTAGTAATAGCGTTAAATATAGTTAACAATTGGTCCATTGAACGTGATCCATCATCAATAAATGTAAAACCTTTTTCAGTTGAACTACCAATATGTTTAAATTTATGGACATCAGCTTATCAATGGGCAAAAACAACAAAAGATGTTATATGTCTCCAAAACGATGTTTCTAAGCAATATTATATACCAGCTTGTAATTTAGAATTTATATCACAAGCTGATTTAAATAAATATATAAACAAAAAATGAACGACCTTCAACCAGTTCAAAAAGTCTTTTGATATTTGGTTCTTAGAAGCTAAAAATGATTCAGATTGGAAAACATCGACATGCACCTGCCCAGCTTTCCTCAGAAACTACATATGCAAGCATATCGTCCGAATGGGGAATCGATTAAAGCTTTGGAAATCACCACCTGGAGCAAAGACTGTGCCGATTGGTCAAAAGAGGAAGAGGGGGCGACCACCAAAAGCAAAGCGTGCTTTGCTAATGCAATAATTTTTTTCTCATTTCAATCCTTTTTCTCTCACTCTTTATTATACAAGTAGCGTTCATCATTCTGATTCACTTATCCCTTGACTGGAAAGGAATCACCAATAGGAAATTATTTCTATAGAATATTATAATTATCTTTCTCGTCCACATTACATTGAGGGCTGCGCGAT